GCCCATCCCAGCAGGTGTTCCGAGCCGCGCCCGCCCGTGGCGACGAGAACCCCACAAAAATCCGCCAAAAACCTCCAAACCGGCAACGTCGTCGTCGACGTCGTCGTCGACGACATCAACGGTGGCGGCGACGACGACATCGCTCTTCGCGCCGCCGACACAACCCCCTCAGAGAGCCGGCCCCTCGGGACCTGACCACAGGAGAGCGCTCGGATCAGTATTCCCGACGACGACGACGGCGGCGACGACGACGACGGCGGCGACGGCGACGACGACGACGAAAGCGACGAAAACGATGGAAACGACGACGAAAACGGCGACGAGAACGACGACCTCCGAGAACGACGGTGGAGGTGCCTCCTCGGACGCCTCATCGCGGAGTGCTGGTTTCTACGTTCGCCATCCGGCTGGCGCAAAGGTGAGGTAGCGGCAGAGGCGGGGCCCCGAACAACCCCTGGAAAAAGGCATCGCGAGCACCCACCTTGGGATATAACCCACCTTCTACGGCGCCCCGACGCCCCCCGCCCCCGCTCGTGGCGGCCGAGCGACCGCGCGCGACGTGGCCAAACTGGCGGGACGGCAGCAGGTCGGAGGCGATCTGCTCGATGCCGCCTCGGCGCGCCGCCAGGCGAGGCGAGGGGAAACGCCCGGGGGGAGACGGGCTCGGGGGGGAAGCATCTTTGTAAGGTCGATCCTTTTTCGCTCACTCATCGTCGTGCATTCGTTCGTCGCCCTCCCAGCTCCCCTGAAGCCCGGCCACCCCCCTCCTGGCATCAGGGGGAGGGGGGCCTCTGGACGGGCCTGGGAGCCTCCCCCCACAACACCCTTCTCCTCCTGTCCCTCGCTGCTCAGGGCGGAATACCAGCTCAGGGGGGGAAGCATCGACCAGGAATCGGCGATACACCGCCAATAGATCGGCGATAGGCTCCGAAATCAGATCCACACGTTCCTGGGCGGGGTGGGCCTATCGGGCCCCTGTCGGCGATTGATGGGCGACTGGGGCTCCATGCATGCCCCCGTAAGCCTATCCCCCCGAGCGGTGCCCCCGACGAAGGTGCGCAGGAAGCTGGAGGCTGCCAGAGTCCAGGGGGCGGCGGGCACAGGCAGGAGGCAATTCCTGGGAGGCTCCCGCAGGAACGGGCCGGTGTGACCTAAGGGGCGATCGTGATGGGCGTGTTTTCCACCACCACCACCACCATAAGTTGGACGGGGGGTCCTCCTCCTCCTCCTCCTCCTCCTCCTCCTCGTCCTCCTCCTCCTCGTCCTCCTCGTCCTCCTCCTCCTCGCCCTCCTCCTTCCCCCCCCCCAACTTATGGTGGTGGTGGTGGTGGAAAACAAGCTCATCATATCAGGCAGACTGAAGCCGCACTCGGCCCAGGACTGAGCCGGACTTAGGCGGACTAAGCGGGACTGGGCCAAATCGGGACTGCTCTGGGCGGACAAACCGGCACCGATGCCGCTACTCCTCGAACCTCCCGCGGGGCACGATCGGACTTCTTCTCCCTAGATGCTTGCCACCGCTGCGACGTCCATTCCCCGTGCATGTTTCAGTGTCGTGCGTTTTTTTCCGCAAGATGATCCAGGATACGCCTCGATGGCTCTCGCCGAGAAAAACTGCACACGCCGAGCAATGCCAAGAATAGCGTTTCGCTAGAGGGTTCGAACAGTGACTAAGAAGAGGCGCAAAAGTAATGGGCCTGTTTTCCACCACCATCACCACCATAAGTTGGACGGGGAGGGGGGCCTCCTCCTCCTCCTCCTCCTCCTCCTCCTCCTCCTCCTCCTCCTCCTCCTCCTCCTCCCCTCCAACTTATGGTGGCGGTGGTGGAAAACAGGCACATCGAAAAGAGTCCCACAGGGGGCGGCGGGAAGCCCGAGCCCGCCCTTGTGCCGCGGCCGTCCAGCGGCGGTTTTAAGTTTTGCCCGAGACGCCCTCACAATTTACTGCGAAGTCGGACTCTCCCAAGACGCCCCAAGAGGCCTTTCAAGATGCCGCCCAAGAGCGCCCCGAGAGGGAAAAAACGTTGATGTTCATTGGTTATTTCAATGTGTGTTTGTATTCTCGCTGTTTCGTGCTTCCGACGCTACAGCACCGCCCAACCCCTTCAAAACCGCTCCAAGACGGCCCAAGAGGCCCCCAAGAGGGCCCCAAGACGGCCCAAGAGAGCCCCGGCCCCAGAGCCGCCCAAGACGGCGCAAGAGGGTCCCAAGAAGGCGCCAACTACATTATGGTCCCGACGACCATGACCCCTGGCTAAAAATACACCAAAGCGCGCATGGCCGCGCTCTCTGTGTCCTTCCTTCCGCCCTTCATGCTGCCAGAACTCCGCTCCCGCGCACGACGTCTCACACAAACGAGCACACCGTGCCGCACTTCTGGCACTTCGTGCTGCCAGAACTGCACTTCGTGCGTTTCCAAGGAATGCCTAGGACTGCGCGTTTTCACTAGCCAGCCTCCAAACGTTTTCAGAGGCCACCCACCCTGCAAATTCTCCGCCGGCACCCCCCCCTGCACCCCGGCACCCACAGCCTCCCGAGACGTCTGGGCATGCCTGCACCCCGGCATCCCCAGCCTCCCGAAGCGTCTGGGCATGCATTTTTGTTACGTTTTCAGAGGCCACCCAGCCTGCAAATTCTTCGCCGGCCCCCCCCCCTGCACCCCGGCACCCCCAGTCTCCCGAGGCCTCTGGGCATACGATTTGGGTACATTTTTAACGGCCACCCACCCTGCAAATTCTTCGCTGGCACCCTTCCTGCACTCCGGCACCCCCAGCCTCCCGAGACGTCTGGGCATGCGTTTTTGGTAGGTTCTTCAGGGCCACCCGCGTGCGTTTTTGGTACGTTTTCAGAGGCCACCCACCCTGCAAATTCTTCGCCGGCACCCCCCCCTGCACCCCGGCACCCACAGCCTCCCGAGACGTCTGGGCATGCCTGCACCCCGGCACCCCTGGCCTCCCGAAGCGTCTGGGCATGCCTTTTTGTTACGTTTTCAGATGTCACCCAGCCTGCAAATTCTTCGCCGGCCCCCCCCTAAACCCCGGCACCCCCAGTCTCCCGAGGCCTCTGGGCATACGATTTGGGTACATGTTTAACGGCCACCCACCCTGCAAATTCTTCGCTGGCACCCTTCCTGCACTCCGGCACCCCCAGCCTCCCGAGACTGGGCATGCGTTTTTGGTAGGTTCTTAAGGGCCACCCGCGTGCGTTTTTGGTACGTTTTCAGAGGCCACCCACCCTGCAAATTCTTCGCCGGCACCCCCCCCTGCACCCCGGCACCCACAGCCTCCCGACACGTCTGGGCATGCCTGCACCCCGGCACCCCCGGCCTCCCGAAGCGTCTGGGCATGCGTTTTTGTTACGTTTTCAGAGGCCACCCAGCCTGCAAATTCTTCGCCGGCCCCCCCCCCTGCACCCCGGCACCCCCAGTCTCCCGAGGCCTTGGGCATACGATTTGGGTACATAACGGCCACCCATCTTCGCTGGCACCCTTCCTGCACTCGGCACCCCCAGCCTCCCGAGACTGGGCATGCGTTTTTGGTAGGTTCTTAAGGGCCACCCGCGTGCGTTTTTGGTACGTTTTCAGAGGCCACCCACCCTGCAAATTCTTCGCCGGCACCCCCCCTGCACCCCGGCACCACAGCCTCCCGACGTCTGGGCATGCCTGCACCCCGGCCCCGGCCTCCCGAAGCGTCTGGGCATGCGTTTTTGTTACGTTTTCAGAGCCACCCAGCCTGCAAATTCTTCGCGGCCCCCCCCTGCACCCCGGCACCCCCAGTCTCCGGGCCTCTGGGCATGGGTACATTTTTAACGGCCACCCACCCTGCAAATTCTTCGCTGGCACCCTTCCTGCACTCCGGCACCCCCAGCCTCCCGAGACGTCTGGGCATGCGTTTTTGGTAGGTTCTTAGGGCCACCCGCGTGCGTTTTTGGTACGTTTTCAGAGGCCACCCACCCTGCAAATTCTTCGCCGGCACCCCCCCCTGCACCCCGGCACCCACAGCCTCCCGACACGTCTGGGCATGCCTGCACCCCGGCACCCCCGGCCTCCCGAAGCGTCTGGGCATGCGTTTTTGTTACGTTTTCAGAGGCCACCCAGCCTGCAAATTCTTCGCCGGCCCCCCCTGCACCCCGTGTGCAAATTCTTCGCTGGCACCCTTCCTGCACTCCGGCACCCCCAGCCTCCCGAGACGTCTGGGCATGCGTTTTTGGTAGGTTCTTAAGGGCCACCCGCGTGCGTTTTTGGTACGTTTTCAGAGGCCACCCACCCTGCAAATTCTTCGCCGGCACCCCCCCTCTGAACCCCGGCACCCACAGCCTCCCGACACGTCTGGGCATGCCTGCACCCCGGCATCCCCGGCATCCCGAAGCGTCTGGGCATGCGTTTTTGTTACGTTTTCAAAGGCCACCCAGCCTGCAAATTCTTCGCCGGCCCCCCCCCTTGCACCCCGGCACCCCCAGTCTCCCGAGGCCTCTGGGCATACGATTTGGGTACATTTTTAACGGCCACCCACCCTGCAAATTCTTCGCTGGCACCCTTCCTGCACTCCGGCACCCCCAGCCTCCCGAGACGTCTGGGCATGCGTTTTTGGTAGGTTCTTAAGGGCCACCCGCGTGCGTTGTTTGGTACGTTTTCAGAGGCCACCCACCCTGCAAATTCTTCGCCGGCACCCCCCCTGCACCCCGGCACCCACAGCCTCCCGACACGTCTGGGCACCCCCAGTCTCCCGAGGCCTCTGGGCATACGATTTGGGTACATTTTTAACGGCCACCCACCCTGCAAATTCTTCGCTGGCACCCTTCCTGCACTCCGGCACCCCCAGCCTCCCGAGACGTCTGGGCATGCGTTTTTGGTAGGTTCTTAAGGGCCACCCGCGTGCGTTTTTGGTACGTTTTCAGAGGCCACCCACCCTAAGGAAAACGTATATTTTCAGCACATTCACTTCTTGAGTTTTCTATGCCTCCGATACGGCCCAAGAAACCCCCAAGAGGGCTCCTAGACG